GTCTGGATGTTTGTAAACTGCCTCCACGATACAGGAGAAAATCCTAGTGTGGGGGTAACGTATTTTTTAAAAAATAAAAAAAAATAATAAAATTCCAGACTATAACCTATCTCTGAGCAAAATATCATCCAGGTCCCTTCAGCGGTTCTGGTGTGATTGAGTAAGATACATCCATTCATCCGTCCATCCAAATATCCAAACTTTCGCATTTATAATATTTAGATAATAGGTAATTGTAATTAGTTCTGCCTACCTATAAATTGTTTTCAAAAATACTTACCTGACTTCTTACTTTTTTATATATACTCAATATCACTAAATGTAAACACAGGTTTTTATCAAGACAAGTGACCCATCAAGATTGTTTTCTTAGTACTGACGTACCTACCTAAAGTTTACAATTTTGTGGCCACGACGCGGTGACGTTTTGTGACATTTTGTTGTATTGTAGGTTGTAGGTATCTAGGTAATAACAGTAGGTACCTATGAAAATCCCACATAATGTACCTTGTTTGTCCGCCGCAAGAGTCGTCTAATAAATAATTAAACTGTTTTGTAATTCTTTATTTATTTATAACACTTGCATTGAGAGCCGTGGTAGCTCAGATGGTTAGCGCTCGCCGTAAGTATCACATTACGCGAGCAACCCGGGTTCGATCCCCGTCGGCACCAATGAAATTGTTGCAATTTTATATAGTAATCGTATATAGACTTTACTTTTTTACTTTTATAATTATATTATATTACAGACGAAAATTTTACAATATTGTCTGTCGTCCAAAACGCATCATTCATCTCTTTCAATTATATCAATTTCCATGCTGTCTTTTGTCTTTGGCGTCCAAATTACAAAATAGCAAAACTTTTCGTTTCGAATAAAACTCGAATAAGCGTGCGTCACCGCCCGTGCATGTGTGTGTAAGCGTCGTCCTCCCGCACCGCACCGGGGGAAACATTATTCAGTGAGATGCACGATAATTCATAGTAACATACGCGCGTAAAAAAATACGAAAAGGCCTTTGGAAGAAGGGGTTTTATGAAAAAACCACTGCATAAATCAATTACGAATAAAATTTATTGAATTCTTCGATAATTGAGCTGTGTCGGTACCGACTTTGTTTTGGAAATTTTACACTTCTTTTATTACTAATTTACGCCCAAAGTTGTGTTAAAATTGGCAATAAAAACGAATCTTTGGTAGCCCGTAACTTTTTAATAACATTTTATTTTACTATTCTGTTTCCGTACAGACAAATTTAATAATGAGACAAAACGATATCATGTTTAACTTTGGATGTACACTGTCAAACAGCGTAGTAAAACCCCTCCGAAATTTGTATGGAAATATTGTCGACTAGTGTCACCTTAATGGTAAATGTTCCTCCGGATCGGTAGTATCAATGGGCGTTCCTCAGGGCTCGATTCTTGGCCCAATCCTGTTCTTAATCTATATTAATGACTTACCTTATCTTGTAGGGGACAATCACGATATAGTATTATTTGCTGACGATACCTCTTTAATTTTGAAATTGAAAGGGCAGTCAATTAAATATGAGGATGTAAATAATGCTCTATCGAAACTATTACATTGGTTTAACGCCAACAATTTGCTCTTAAACGGCAATAAGACAAAATGTATTAAATTTACAATACCTAATGTAAAACATTCGAAAACCAATGTGCTCTTAAATGGGGAGGAGTTGAGTCTTGTGGATACCACTGTTTTTCTCGGTATTACTATTGACGCGAAACTTCAATGGGGCCCCCATATATCTAAATTAGCAAGCAGACTTAGTTCTGCAGCATATGCTGTAAGAAAGATTAGAAGTCTCACAGATGTTGAGACAGCTAGGTTAGTGTATTTTAGTTACTTTCATAGCGTAATGTCTTATGGAATTTTGCTATGGGGTAATGCGACTGATATTGAAGCTATATTTGTTTTGCAAAAGAGAGCCGTACGGGCGATTTATAATCTAAATTGTAAAGAGTCCCTTAGAGAAAAATTTAAAGAAATTAACTTTGGCATCGCAATACATTCATGAAAATGTAATGTATGTACATAAAAACGTAAATAGCTTTAATAAGAATAAGGATGTTCATACCTTAAACACTAGGAACAAACATAAGCTTGTAATGCCACTTACTAGATTCCACAGAATTAGTAATTCATTTATGGGGCAATGTATACGCTTTTACAACAGAATCCCAGAACATGTTCAAAGTTTGTCAATAAACACGTTTAAAAGTTTTATTAAAGAAAAACTGTACAAAAAGGGTTATTATAATATCAAGGAATACATGAATGAAAATAACCCCTGGGAATAAGGTGATCGCCACCATGCTGGTTCTATGAAAATTCATGTAAAATTGTATAAACCAAATTATTGTTAAGTGAAATTATGTTTAAAAAAAAAGTCCCGCTGGGTTTCTTGCTGGTTCTTCCCAGGACAGAGGTATTTTCCGAACCAGTGGTAAATAAAATAATGACTTTCAATAAGTATTATGTAATAATCCATATTGAATAAAAATCATTCTCATTCTCATTCGTTTAGTAGTACAGCCGAAATTAAAATTACAATAAACTGGGCTTGCTCGCATAATATTCATTTTCATACGTGGTAGAGCCATGCTGCAGCTATATTAGTAGTATAGTTGTAGCACGAATGGATCGGCTCGGCCGGGGAAGGACCACGCTCTCACAGAATACCAGCGTAAAATAGCAGCTTAACACTGCTGTGTTTCGTATGATGAGTGTAGAGAACCAGAGACCATTTTTACTGGAAACGAGGCATTCCGTCTTAGTCCTCACGGCTGGCAACGCATCTGCATTTTGATTCGCAAATGAGGATAAATGTAGATGTCTATGGGCCACAGCAACCACTTAACATTAGGTGAACTGTGTGCTTGTTTGTCACCCTATACTATTAAAAAAACCGGCCAAGTGCGAGTCGGCCTTGCGTACCGAGGGTTCCGAACAAATCCGTAGTTATATAAGTTTAAAATTATTAAAAATATTTCTATTATATGATGTAACTAAAAATTTATGGTTTTATCAAATTTTCCTTTATCTGTGCTATAATACGTTGCTTCGTACCAGATTTTAAGATTCTAAGTTCACGGGAAGTACCTAGTAGATTTTGATTCCCTTGCGAATGTCGAAAATTTGCGGCATAAACGGCTGTATATTTTGATTGCGTTGGCTTAGAAGTTTGATTTTTTCACAGCTTCAAGGGACAGTAGACTTGAGTATTTGATATGAATTTCAGCTTGATTCCTCCGCGCGTTCCTGTGAAAGAGGGTCTTGACAGACACACAGACAGACGGAAAACAAAGTGATCCTATAAGGGTTCCGTTTTTTCCTTTGAGGTACGGAACCCTAAAAATGGGATTTTTAAATAAAAATGTCTGTCTATGGGCCACAGCAACCACTTACCATCAGGTGGACTGTGTGCTCGTTTGTCATCCTATACTGTAAAATAAATAATTAAATGGGATTTTTAAATAAACATATCTCTCAGTTGTCAAGCAGCTTTTTTCCTTCTTTTCTTTTTTATAAAACGTTACCCCAAACCAGGATTTTATCAGTTTACATACATAAATTGAACAAGGATCAATTATTTGTAGGCCATACAAATGTGTTTCGTGCGGGATTAACCTCGGCCCTCAACGCCGCAATTCAGTGCTAAGTCGAAGCGTCACGGAGCCGTTAGCACTGTCATAAAACAGTTACAAAAATAATATGTTATAATAAATGCTATAGAACTGTGTAGTGGCGGTGTAAGAATATCCCCACTACCCCTATTGTCCCGTCGGCGCCGTAAGAAGCTACAGACATTATATTAAACACTAGCGATCCGCACCGGCTTCGTACGGGTGATTTCTGGATATCGACAACAGCGCCACCTACCGGGTCCAATTGTAAATCATTTAGATCAGGGATAGCGAACCAATGGCACGCGTGGCGTCGACGGATCACAAAGTTCACTATGAAGTATTTATTATATTACGAACGAACGCGAGTGATTCTACACTGCGGAGTGTTCAGAAAAAATTAGACAAACCAGGATCAATTATTTGTAGGTCATCCAACTGTTTCTGAAATATTAGGGAAAAATTGAACAATACCCACAATTATGATGTTATTTGGCTTTCAAAATTCATGTTTTTTACAGACATATGCCAAAGATTATGAATTGAACGTGAAGCTTCAAGGCACAAATGAAACAATTATCGTCATGATGGATCTCGTTCGCGCTTTTGAAGCTTAACTGACGTCGGTCGCGTACGTCAGTCACGCGTACTAATGTAGCAAACTACGCGCCGCTGTCGTCAGCGTCGTAGTGTGGGGCTATATAGAACACAATATACATTAGTACGCGCGACCGACGTCGGCATAGGAGGAATTCAAGCCTTAAGACTCGCTTAGAAATCGTTTGACAGATGACTCCAGTTCAGCATCCATTCTGCTAAAAGTAACATCTTATAACCCTAATATAAGTTCTTTGTCATCTAATCTGCAACAACAGGAAGTTACACTAATATTACTTTAATTTGAATTACGCGTGAACTGAAATATATTGCAATTTTTGCATTGCAAAATGTATTTAGTATTATTATTTTCCCAAAAACCACAAAGTCAAAATTATTGTACGGCACGTCTATGGCCTCATTAAACATTTCTTTATAAAAATGACATTGATACATAAAGGTTCGCTACCCCTGGCTTTGATCATCCACTCCACACCAAAAAAAAAATCATCGAAATCAGTCCATTGGTATTAGATTTTTAGCGAGACTAACGTACAACAATTGATTTTTATATAATTATGTAGATTGCGATAATTCACTTATACACTTTGCACTCTAGACTGTCCTTGAAAATGTGAGCAGGAGCGCGTTGCTATGGTTACATGCGGTACATGCAATACGAGCACTAAAGTCAAAACTAAAGTGACTTTTGACTTTGATTTTTCTTTACATAACACTAATTATTTTCACAGTGGTGAAGAATCGACCAACACAACATCGGACGTAGCCTCCGAAAAGAAAGAGGGATCTGAAGCACCAGCGGAGCGCCGCCGTCCGCCACGCAAGTCCGAAACGGTCAACAAATGGTCGCACGACAAATACAACGAGAATGAACAAGTGTGTACTTAATATTTATTAAAAAAAATAATGCTAGCAACACTATAGTCGTTAAAAACTCCCAACTGCATGAAACTATTTTTAGTCCGTAAAAATCCGTTTATCGTGTTTAGTTTTAACTTAATGTGTGCTTAAAAAGGTAACATTGCAGTACTTTTTAACTAACATTTTTGAACCTCTGTTAAATCAAAATTATATTTACGTCGTAGACCTATGCTGCAGCTATATTAAGTTGTAGCACGAATGGATCAGCAAGACCGGGAAAGGACCACGCTCTAACAGAATACCAGCGTAAAATAGGAACTTAAGCTGTGTTTCATATGGTGAGTGTAGAAAACCGAAGACCCTTTTTACTGGAAACGAGGCACTGTCTTAGTCTTCAGGGGTGGCAACGCATCTATATTTTTATTCTTAATCGATGATAAATGAAAAGACTTATTATTTTTAGGTGATTTTGAGAACATCGATTTACAAATTCGTTTTTATTACTACACTTTTTTCCCTCAGAAATGCAGGTTCCCTCACGATGTTTTCATTCACAGCAGAGAACGTGGTAAATCAGCACTTAAAATTGCAATTAACAATTTCATTGGTGTCGGCGGGAATCGAACCCGGGTTGCTCGCGTACTGTGAAATTTACAGCGAACGCTAACCCACTTGAGTTACCACGGCTCATTGGCTTAGCATAGTTAAAAACGATTTAAAAAATAAAAGCCAATAGATTACAGGCAGCATTTAATTTTATTATTTAACTTTTGTGTTACAGATGCCAAAATCCCGTGAAGAGTTGGTAGCGATCTATGGCTATGATATAAGGAATGAAGACGCGCCACCTCACGCACGTAGAAACAGACGATATGGGTATGTTTATATACTTAAAAACGCTAATATTTTCTTGATGTTTAAAACACAATAAGTTCTTTGTTGACATTTCCCAATTTATCATTATTACAAATTACAATAAAATACATATTAATCTCAAAGGGTTTGCTTTGTTGTTTTCAAAATAATGTATCAAATAAACCAATTGGAGTAAGAATAATAATGCACTCAATCTTTGTCTCTACTCTACTCCTCCGTTTTTAAAAACCATGTTTAACTTCAAAGAGAGAATGGCTTTTCTATGATTCATCATAACAGATTTTCATAAATTCACTCTTAAGCAGATGTCTCCCAAATGGAATGCCACAAAACACTTTGGCCTTACTTATAATGATTGATTAGGTTATCGTTTTAATTATCTCTGTCTGTATTTTTCATTGTCATTTAGTGAAAAGTGACAGAGAAAGAGGCAGCAATGTTAGGCATTTGACGCTTATTAGTAAATATGGCATATATTTTAAGTAATTACTTGAGGCATATGGAATGACCTTTTTTATTTATAAAAGGCTCCATAATATTTCATTAGACGTCTGTCATTGAAACGGCTATTGACTTTAGTTTTAAATAGTTATCTTGAAAATAGCTGTTGTAATGTTTTATTTTCAAGTTATTTCAGGTCGGCATAGTTTGTCTTTCTCTTCCCATATCCTTCACTAGCCGTCATCTAATTCACTCCTTTCTTACACAGTCTATCCGTCTTTTCTTAGGCTTCCCTCTATTAACATATCATCCACTTTCATATTTCATTCTTTTAATTAAAAAAAATTAGAAAAGCGGGTTAAGATGTATGTCCTTTTGAAATTCATGTATGTAAACTGCTTCCACTATATAGGAGAAAATACTATCATTTCTACTGTATTTGACAATTAGCTGATACCCGAGTTGCTTGATATATTAACAAAGTTTTCGTATGTGCAAAGGAAAATAACATAAAAATACAAAATTTCTTTGCAAACAATGTTATTCGTTGCTCCATTTGTAGCTAAAATATATAAATTATCTGGGTTAGTAACGCGAGAGCAAGCGACGTACAGTTGACTATGCAAAACCCTTTATAAAATCGTTGTTTCATAAAACTTTAATAAATATAATAATAACTTAACATTAAATGAAGATATTGCAATAATTTTTTTTTAGATAACGCCCAAGTGTCTAAGAAATAAAACTTAGAAAACCTAATTGAAATCTATCCAGTCGTTTTTCCGTGATGCGCACACAACTGCAAACCTCTATCATTTTATTTATATAGATTGGAATAAAAGATTTTCCCAATGAATTTAATGTTTTCTATTTTATTTTTGCCAATCATTGTGGAGATTCCGAAACTGGCGGTTAGTGATACGTGATTACTATGCAGAATGTTATTTGCATGGCTTTCAGTATAAAATAAAACTTTAACATGTAACTTTATTACCAGCTCAATTATTGTAAGTGGTAAAATTAAAACATTTGTACAACCGACTTCAATATGAA